TGTACAGTTCCAACCATTATGATCACATTTTATGTATTGCTTGGGTGTCACTTGTGAAATTAGCATCTACGGAAATACAGTTGCTATTTATTCATACAGTTTCTATTTATTCATACAGTTTCTATTTATTCATACAGTTGCTATTTATTCAGTTTTTGTTTCTTTAGTTTTTGGTCATTTGGGGGGTATTATTTAGTACTGTACTTTGATAAGTTCTTTTTTAACTAACATTTTCACTTTGTTGATTATTGTCACTCACGTATATGTATAAACACGCACATTGTATAATATTATGTATATATATATGTGTATATTACAAACATACATAATTAAGATACATAAGTATGGTTATTTTACTTTTATCTTCCTGAGATTTATTCCTTTTTGATAAGAAATAATAGTACATATTAACGCAACCGTCCTTTGATTTAAAGGTTTTGTGAAGATATTTTTAAAAACTTTGAATCCCAGTGTTTACATAATGGCATCTAACAGATCAGTCCCTTTGATCCAATCTCTGGAAACTATATCTCTAAGCTAACTCGTCCTATCCCATCTTCAACTACACGATTTTTTTTTCTTTTGTTTTTTTTTTTTATTATTCATTTCACATCAGTTCTTTGTGTTTGTCCGTGCAATATCTAGCACTTATTTTCAGAAATTACAATAATTATTATCTAGAAATGATGTGACTAAAACCACAATTCTTGTTCAATGTGATTATTCTGTAGCTGAGTTTCCTTGCCTTTATTTATCTCGGGGACGTCAGGCGAAGGAAAGGTGTCGATTACCTTACATACAATGTTGTTTCTCAATCCCATGCCTTAACTATGAGAAGAGGAAAACTGATTTATTTGTAAAGAAATAGGGAAGTAAAGCAGAACCATTTATTGTTCCCTGTGTGGCACTGACTACCATGTCTTCAGTATCATCGTTGATTGTTTCTACGATAGATAAGCGATCTGAGGGTACCCTCAATGGTTTTAGTCTTGACCCAACAAGTATACAAGGGCATGCGTTGAATGAAACCCTCTCAAAAGGAAAGGCGCAGTATTGTTGTACAATATTTTGTAGTCCTCCAAAACGGAATCAATTTTTTTCCTTTTTTAAATGTTGAATCTTTAGGAAATGTGCGTGGCGAGGATCAAATAAGCAAAGAGTATAATAATGTTATCTTCATAAAACGTGAATACAAAAAATCAACAACAAAAAAAACCATATGAAAACCCAATCAAGTTTTGAAGGGGTGTTTACAAATTATATAAGAGATTGATGATGATAATACAGACAGCATCTTCAGCACTCACTCCCGTACAAAACAACTCTAAGCGCCTTACAATCCGCCACCGAACCCTGGTAGAAGAAAAGAATATAGCCAAAGATAAAATAAAATTCTACCCTAATGTTTGTACGATTAAAAAGAATACTTCTAATTTCTAGTTGGGAATTTTCATGACTTTGATCTATGCTGTGCGGACAATTCACCACAACAAAAAGCGACGGGTAGCATTAACAAAACGGCTTAGGGTAACATTGAATTGCAAAACCGTTGGAATATTTCAAAACTGTTATACGCATTGAATTCCTCTTTTTCGAAATCACATTCCGCATGCAAACGTTTCACTTAATTACTTTTTAATTAGTATCATTAAACAAATAAATGAAGTTTTGTTTGTTTCGTATTTTCCGACTAGTTTTGTTTTGGGGCTGTACGTGTTTGTTGTCTGTTGTTGTTCCTTATTTTTTTATTTTTTTATTTTTGAATGTTTATTTATCTGTAAGGGGGAGTGGAGAGTGTGTGCACGTGTAGAAATCCCAACACTGTGTACATATCTCTCTGCGTGTTCTGGGTTTCCATAGTCCCCGCTACTGTTTCAGAAACATACATGCCTGCCCCCAACGTTTGCATAATTGGCAGCAATTATTCAGAACTCAAAGCGCGCTCGGAAACTTGGCAAATACTGTATATGGTAATCACGTATTTGGAACAACGGGCGGCCGTGGAGAGCGGGGGGGTAGGTTGGGGGGGGAGGGGGGTGTGACATCAGCACAGAATGCTAACCGTTTGCTTTAAGGCAGTTTAGGGTTCTAGAATCGGATGAATATTCGGAATTTCACAGAGGACAACAACATGCGAAGTTAAGATTATATCAGGAGAAAATGTTCGGCGAATGACGAGCTATTCTCGATCTGTGGTGTTTAAATAACACGGACAGAAGGTAATAGGGTTGTGTTGGAACGTGCAGCCTTGACTGAGTTGTGAACAACCTATTTAAATTGTCGGTTGTTACAAGCACCAACGTATTTACGGACGCTGTATCTGTTTAACTTCGTCGTCTCAGCTTTCTCCGGTCCACTGCGAACACACACTCATAAACATAAAAAGACACACATACACACACATATACACACTCACACACACTCTCACAGACAATAAATGCATAACATCTATAAGCTTCTTAATCTCTTTCACTGTATATTAGTTCGAGCCCCCCCCCCC